TAATTTAATTTGATTTGTCGTACTTTTAATATTTTGTTTAAGTATAAGAAATGAAAAGTTAAATATTCTAACTGTTTCTCATTGTTATTTTAGCATATGTTCCCCAATAAATTTTACAATGTAATTGCAGTTGAGAAAGTAAAAATAATTTACTTTCTTAATATGCAATTAAATTTTTAATAAATGCTTGTATAATGTTAAAGTATTTCTATCTGTTTAAGTGTAATAGGCCGATGATTTCATTGAATTAGGAACCAGTAAGGAAGTGTACATGCAGAAATAATTTTTAAGACATTTTACTACAACAAATGTAATAATAGAAAACATTATCAGGTCACTGAAATAAGGTCTACTGACAAATAATGTAATGTTATTATTTACTATAAACATTTATATATTTGTCATACACACAAAATATATTTTAAGCATGCTTTTGTAACACAAATCTTATAATAATAATAATAATAATAATGATGATGATGATGACAATGGTGATAATATGGATAAATAGTTATAAGGTTGTATATTGCAACATATTTTCTTAGGCGTAATTTCTAAATAACTTAGTCTAATTGTAGTGTTAATTATTGTGGATAAAAATAAATGCATATTTTTTTATTTACAAAATGCAAATGTATTCTATTTTGTCATCACAGATAGGTACAAGAATATTCTATTTTATGTTTTAAACATCTTTTTAACCATATCTTCATACTTCTGATTTGCCTCTAATAATTTAGCATTATAAAATGAAAATTGTTCTTTTGCAGCACGATTTTGTGGTTCTAATGAAACAACACTTTTCAGATCAGAGACAGCTTTATCCAAATCTTTCTGATTTCCATATGCTACTCCCCTTCTGTATAATGCCTTAACATTGTTACATTCCTTATTCAAAACTTTAGTACACAAAGAAATGGTGTATTCATAATTCTTGCGATTTAAATGACATCCAGCCATATTGTTGTATAAAACAAGTCTCAAACTATTCATGTCATTTTCTAACTTTGCATCCAATTCTAAATCAGGTATTGGTTCCAGTGTTATAATTATTTTACAAGCTCTGCTAAATTTATGAAATGCATCTACCCATCTAGAGTTTTTAAATAAGCTGACACCAGTTTCTTTATATCTTAACGCTATTAAGTATTTTTCTTCAGGGGTCCATTCCCAGATTGGCTTGTATGGTTCCATTTTAGTCAATGTAATTTCAAACTTGATCGTTACAGGTTGATCGATACCTTCCAGGGATACTGTTAAGGTAACTAAACTGTTTTCAAGAACATTCATCATTTCAATTGCTCTTTCTACTTGACGATCTATTTGACATTTTGCTTCACCTATAACTAGTGTTTTCTCAGCTGTGCCATCGAAAATTTCCGAATTATATTTCTCTTTTAAATCCTCTACAGATGCGTTATCAACATGTACGTTTTTAATAACAATTGTGCAACTAGCACATTGTGTTGGTTTCTTAGAAAACCCGCCAAATTTGATTACATCTTTCCTCACAACCTTATCTGCTGATTCCCACGTTCTAAGCATTATACTGTCTTTTAAAAAATTTTGTTTCTACAAAATAATATGCGTGATAATCTGTCAGTCGATCGTATTGTATTAACGTTACATTGTTAAATTACGTACAATGTACGTGCTCCATTGTTGTATAAATGAATTTAAATATACGTATAATTGTATACGCAAGTAACTGTAACAAGTATAAATAATAATCATCTGTCGAGCACTTACAACTCACTTAACCTCAACTTTGTAATATCGCCATCGATGGGAAAACGTCCAAGTCTAGTGAAAATAGTTCCAGCCATTTCTGTAAGATGACGCCTCCAATACTTTTTCTAATCTTGTAATAGATGCATTATTGCCCCAGAGGAATGAGTACCATAATTGTTAAATATTATAGTTTATTATTCGTAACATGCATTGCATTCATATTTTGCTATACATAAAAGCACGAACACCAATTAATGGACATAAAAATGGTTTCGCATTCATATTCTATACATTTTTCTGCATATTTATATAATTTTACATCGCAACTATTGTAATCAACATCTAATTGTTGATTTGTACACTAATAATTGACTGATATCAAATTATTTAAATAAATAAAAATACCGAAAATATAGCACTATCTCTCAATGAACGACCCAAGTTTGTCATGAATTAGTATCCACTTCGCGCCTCTAGATGACGCTACCAACATGAAAATATTCAAAACAAGAATTCTCTACTTTTCTTTGCATATAAATTTAATTTTACATTCTAACTGGTTGGAAAACACATCAAAAATGAAAATCATAATTAACGTCGACTATGTTCAAACGTAATTGCCAATTACAAATAAGTATAAATGTGAAGTGCGATTAAGGCGTGAGTCGATATGTGTGTGTAACCCTACAGTATTTTTATTTAAAAAACTTAATATCAGTCCTTTCTTTCGGATTACTCAGTTTATTCGAGTCGCTTCTTTGGAGTTCCGAGTTGGACATTTTCGAACCAAACAGATCGCTTTCTCCGAGTAAGACATTACTTAATATATAATCAAAACAATTATAACATTTTTAAAGTCTTTATTATATTTACGTTGAATTATATATGATTTAATCTAGTCCACTTTTCACTGACTGCCCATAGCCATTTTGCAATGTCATCGTTCTTAGCTTCGTCCGAGATGTCTGCAACTTTATAGTTACTGTAACAAACAAAGAATTGAAATAAGTTTCTGTTATATTTTAATGAATTCTACTCAAAGTTACCTGAAATAAGCTCCAGTGACGTCTTTCAAAGATGGCTCTAGTGCAGCATATATAACAGTTTGTGCTCCTTTTTTTGGTGGTTTCATAAACAACCACATAACTATTTCTGTAAATGCCTTAGTAATGAAGTTATGATAAATACTCATGTGTCGTACTATATCTGTATGCACTATACCAGGATGAACTGCATTTACTGTAACACCAGTCCCTAGATAACAGAACAAAAATAATAAATTAACGATAATATTAAGGTACATTATTCGAGAGTAACTATTCTATTAATCCTCTGAACACATTGTGTACCTTCCAGTCTTTTTGCTAACTCTCTTGTGAACAGAACATTAGCTAATTTACTTTGAGCATATGCCTGTCCAGGATCATAATACTCGTCACTGTTCAAATCCTTTAGTTTAATTTTACCATGTTTATGTGATCTACTTGAAACGTTTATGATTCTCGATGGTGCAGAATCTTTTATGACATCCAATAACAAGTTTGTTAGTAAAAAGTGCCCTATATGATTTACACCAAGTTGCATTTCAATTCCTTCTTTAGTGTAACTTTTAGGACACCTCATTACTCCCGCATTATTTATAAGGATATGCAATTTTGAATGCTCTACAATTTAAAAAGAAACATTTGCATTATATTATTATTCCATTTGAAATAGTACATTAGAATAGGAAGAATTCATAACTAATTCCATGCACATAATAAAAATACATAATTGTACATTAATTACTATACCTTTTTTGAATTGATCTACAAATTTTTTTATGCTTTCTTGAGATGCTAAGTCACATTCTCTACAATACACATATTTGTTCTTAGTAGCTAGTACTATTTGTTGGCGTGCCTGAAATAAAGAAAAATAATTTAAATAAAATAAGTACTTTATAATATAAATTTCGAAGTAAATGCAGAAAATAATTACTATTAACAATGTTCTCACAAATTCTATACTTTATACAATACAAACAATAATGTAAATACCATTTCACATTTTTCCATGTCCCTGCATGCCATAATGACTTTGGCTTTAAGATTAGCTAATTCAGATGCTATTTCTTTACCAATGCCAGTATTGGATCCTGTTACAATAACTACTTTGCCAGTTAGGTCTTCATTACATGTGTATAATGGCCCAGTAATATAATCCCTATACATAATATATATATAAAAATACATAGAAATCAAATAACTTAATGTTTCCATTAGCATAGTGAGTTAATAGCTAGTTCTATTTGAAACGTTATATATTCTACTTTATAATAATTAGAATTAGTATTAGGTAGACAAATCGTCACACATAATATTAAATGTTTACATGAAGTAGGAACCATTAATTTATGAGCTAATTACAATACACAGTTCGTTACTTTTATGACTTAGAAAGAACCATAATCATTGAATTATATTACAAAAATACAATTTTTTGGGAACACCATGTTAAATAAAAAAATATAATTACTTTAACAAATAGGCCCCACCAACAACAGTTATGCCAGCTGAAAAGTAATAAAACGGTTTAGGAATATTCCAACGCATTTTTGCGGTATCTTATAAATAACGTTAGCAAATTAGCGTAAAACTTATTCTATCTCCCATCTTTTAATACATAACACATAACACATAACCTAACACATTGCACATGTGTGTTTCGTATATATTAAAGTCTTATTTACATGAATTCTGGCATGGAATATGGGCATTATAGATTTTGCACGAGTGCATTTATTATAAATCATCTTATCTTTTATTCAAGGGATTTATAATAAAAATGCTTTGCAAATTTAGAGATAAAGAATATGTATGTTTATTTAATCGTGAGAATGTACCTCACGAATCGTTATAACTGTATATATTTAGAAAATTATAAGAAAATTAATCAGAAAGATATAAGTTGACATTATAATTCATTAACATTAAATTAGTCATATGATTCTCGTATTTAGACTAACTCTAAATATAAATTAAAAGATTCCTCAATGAATAATGATCAGTTTACAATCAAGTTTATTAAACTTAATATAACTTCAATATTACATAATCAAATACAACTGACAAAATTTCAATATACATTTAATATTTCTATCAGGGATAATATAATATAAAGGAATAAAATATAATTGAATTCATATCGATATATCAAATCGAAAAAATTGAAGTATTTTTAGTATCGATATGTACCAAATATGATATCGATTCATTTATATCGATACATGTCAATAAGTGAAATGGATGACTTTGTAAATACGTAGTGTTTCTTATGTGACGTAAAGTTTATGCGTTTATTTGTCAAAATAAATTACAATAATTTAAGAGTGTTTTATTAATAAAATTAAAATATATCATAGGTTATGTTAGTTTGTTTTTTGTATTTTTTTTTGTAATAATTTAACTCAACATGTTTGTACAGAAAGTGTTGCGATTTACAAGAAATACCAAAATATTGCAAAGGTCATTTGCCCATAGAGGTTTTCAGTTTTCACAAAAGGTTTGCAGTTATAAATAAACGCATTTACCTAATTTTTTCTAAGTTTTTAGCATAGTATAATGTTATTAAAATTTATAATGACCAAAAGTTACTTTTTAATTTTATTATTGATAAGATTTTCACAAAATGCATTCAAATGTAAACCTAATAGTAATTGACAGCAAAAATTAGATGTAGCATATACAAAAGTATTTAAATTAACTTTTGCTACTAGAAAAACAATCATCATACATTTGCAACAAAGATATGTATAACATCTTCGCTCACTGCTATGAGTATGTGGGGTCTTACAAAAAAGAAAGGTGATCCTGAGAAAGGTGTAACCGCAAAAGAGGTTTTAATAACAAAGGCTGATGCATTGTTTGATCAAGGACATTACAAAGAAATGTACCTTATTTTAACAAATTATAGAGTAAATATACTTTTATTAGGTTTATTTATATAGCAAAGTTTTAGGAGTGTACAATAGACTTTTGTAGGATAGCGGAGATGTTGAAATTATATGGCGTTTGTGTAGAGCATTATATAAAATGGCTAAGTCAGCCACCGAAGTAGAAGGGAAAAAAATGATTTACGAAGCCTATGATTTAATAGCCAATGCTCTAAAAATAAAAGAGGATCATTGGGCTGTACATAAATGGATGGCTATCATCCTTGACAGTAAATCCAATTATGAAGGCATGAAAATACGAATAAAAGAATTGTATAACATCAAAAAACATATGCTGGTACATATGTATATATATACGTTTTTAAATAATGTATTAATTAAGCAAGAAAACAGATGATTTGAAAATTTACATATATATTAATGTGATATTGCAGAGAGCAATAGAACTCAATCCAAAGGATGCAACAACAATGTACATGTTAGGTACATGGTGTTATCAAGTTTCAGATCTACCATGGTATCAAAGAAAAATTGCAGCTGCAATATTTGAAAAACCACCGAACTCCTCTTTCGAGGAAGCTCTGACATATTTTGAAAATGCAGAGAAAGTCGATCCCTATTTCTATAGCCATAATTTGTTGATGCTTGGAAAAACTTACTTGAAATTAAATCAGAAAGAACAAGCATTGAAGTATTTAAAAATGACCGCTGAATATCCCGTGAAAAACGATGATGATCATAATGCTCAACAAGAGGCACAAAAATTGTTGAACAGTTTACAAAAATAGCAGGTGCTACTGCATACATGACACAAGTTATTATCGATAATCAATGTCAAGTACTTTTCCAAGCAATCAGGACAACAATGACGGATACACAATAAATCTAAGAATTATATTTTAGATATAGAATATTTATTAAGAACAGAATGCATTTATTATGTAATACATTCATGGTGATGTTTTTATATAACTATACACACATTTATATTTTTTATGTAATTTTACAAGGTAAACACTTGAAAATGTATTGCTCACAAGAAAATTTCGTGCAATAATTGTACGAGGGTCTTATGAGTTATGATGACTGCAACGATCTTTCGTAACTTTAAGAATACTGTGACTGTACCATGTATTTTAGAACACTTTGTAGTTTCAATGTTTTTGATACATTTTATATACGTATAAACTATGAAAAATATATACAATATGTTTGTACTTCGCATTTTTATAATAATATCACAATTCCTAGAAGTAGGAGACAAACTCTTATCAAACATAACTGGTTCTTCACTTAGCGCATCCACTGTAGTCAGAACAAATTATCAGCCATAGTACCCCGTCGTTTATATAATCTAGATTGTTATAACAGCTACTTGTAGCAATATTGCAATAGTTTTGATTGCACAGAATAATTTCTACACTGAATCAATTTCACTTATCGATCAATTTCTTCTTCGCCATAGCCACTTTCCATGAAGTTAATGTATTCTTCGTGTTCTAAATCTATATCTCTGTCGTGGCTATGAAAATAGCCGTGGCCAAGGATGAGTGCATCACGGCGTGGAAGAGTAAAGTGGTCGTTTGGAAGATATTGGCAGTGGCGCGAAGGATGTGCCGCCAATTGATACAGTTGAGGATTCCGATGGAGGCCCCAGTGACCTCTGTGCCTTCCACAATGGCATGGGCAATAGATTATAACACAATTCAGTGTCACTGGCATCACGCGTAATACGTGTCCAAGTCTACAAGTACAATTTTGAGGCATCCCTGACATATGAGTGGGTGACCTAAAACAGAACAGGTGACAAATAAATTATTTTTAGTTACTTATATTATAAGTGACTCGCTTATATAAATTTATATAAACTTTTTGTGATCTGTTTGAATTTACTTAAATCAAAAAGAGATGTATATATATATATATATAAGACTTATAATATTTATTTGAGTATAAATCTCTTTTTGGTTGAAGTAAATTCAAACAGATCACAAGAAGTTTATATAAATTTCCTATTTTCATTCAATTTTAATTTAGTTTTAGTTTTTACAGAGCGATTTGGAAACATATTATTGTCTTTATATGTCTTTGGACCTTTGAAATTGATATAAACTTTTTGTGATCCGTTTGAATTCATTTCAACCAAAAAGAGATTTATACTCAAATAAATATTATAAGACTTATAATATTTATAAGTTTATTATATATATATAAGATATATAAAGACAATAATATGTTTTCAAATCGCTCGGTGAAAACTAAAACTAAATTAAAATTGAATCGAAATAGGATTTTAGACAAAATTTCATAAAAATAAATCCATTCACACTTGGTACTGAAGCGAAGTACAGAAGTTTGATTATAGTAAAAGAGTTCGAGAAGATACCCACCAATTGAAGCGTAATTTCGATGTCTGTGACAAAGGCAGAAGCTCGAAGCGCACTGGTCCGTGTTCAGATCGAAAATGATATTTCCAAATAAATTGTTTCCTTATATAGTCACCAGGTCATCGTATTGTCGACGTAACAATTCTTTCTTCACCCTGTAAAATCCTTATACCTGAATTCCTTTCTGGAGCCCCACGCTCTCCCCTTCCATGAGCAATACAATAGTACTTAGTGTCTGAGACAGATTTACCCTTAGTAATTTGTTTGTCTCTGGGTATATTAGGTCAGTTTACTTGCGCGATACTCGTCACGTAGTTTCGTGGTAACAATTTCAGTTTGTAACGGGAGTTTGATTAGGATTCCTTGGGTTATAGGAATAGACCGAGGAAGACATTTTCTACAAGGTGATGGTCGAGGGGTGCTATCACTTTTCATATACAGTGGGTGTAGAATGTATTCGTACACCAATCAATTTCCCAAAAAACTTTTGTATGAAATTGTAGTTTCTTAACTTTTTTTTTTGTAATCAATGATATTTTACATATTCTCGGAAGTCTCTAAGATATAGTCCAAACAACATTTACTAGTTAATATAATTTGTGAAATTAACAAAAAGATGCGAAAAGTGGGTGAAAGTATAGAAGTAATAAGTATTTGTACGATTCTTATGACGAACCATTTACAGTAGAGTTTGTAAAAACACATTAGTTTATTGCTCCGTACGAATTAGAAAACATCAAATTTTCAGTAAAGTATTGTATCTTTAAAAAATGGCTCTAATAGAAAAATTGAAGAAGATCTCACTTCAAATAACTAATAATTTAGTTAATTTAATCCTTAGAAAAGTTACAATAATTATGAAATCAAAAGGAAATCCCACGAAGGAAGTATTATATACTTTCTTTTGTTTTTAATCAAATTTTAAAAATTAAATAATTGTGCGAATACTTATTGCTTCAATATTTCTATCGATGAATTGTTTTTTTCTTGTTAATTTCGCAACTTACATAAATAGCTATTTTTTTTTGTACTCTATCTATTTTAGAGATTTCCAAGAATATATAGAATGTCATTGTTTATCAAAAATAAATTAATAAATTACAATTTTATATAGATTTTTTAGAAATTGATCAGTGTACGAATACTTTTTACACCCACTGTAAGGAAAGTTGGATAAGCTTTTAATTAAAGAAATTCATGATGCGGAATTTTTATTGATAATATCAAATTTTAATCGAGTCATTAGAGCCTCGATTTTGTATCGTTTATTATTTTTCCAATAAACATACGAAGTAGAGATCGTTGTTTAGAGTTTTAAGAAAATTGGTGACATTAGTGTGTACAAAATTTGAATGGAGTAAATATTTTTGGATTGGGGATCATTGAACAAAATTTAAAAAATTGCAAGCGATCATTTTGTAAAAATTGGATTTTTTAAATTAGTAATCTGGAAGAAGTAAGTTTGGTTAAGTTGGTAGGGTGGGATGAATAATAACTCTGTCCTGTGAAAAATGCAATTTTATTAGTCGCCGAAGAAAGCAAGTACAATCGCTCATGTTTATAATTGACGGTCGCGTCTTTAATAAATAATAATTTACACGCTATTCCTACGAAACATAGAGAAGCCTGTATACACCACTGGGCTAGCGAAACAGTGATCGTTCAGAACTGCTAATTATACGCGTGTCTTGATATAATGTTCATTAACGTTAGAGGTATTTTATAAGCTACTAGAAGGATTTTTCCTAAATATAGTCCAACAAATAAGGAATTTATACAGAATTTCGTGAAACGATACGTCGATTGTTTGCTACGTATTATCGTGAAGGATTTTCCACAGGGGGCTTTAGAATTTTGTTTCTTTGATAATAAAATATGTCTGTGAACGTAATTAATTTCAGGTTTAATTATCATATGTATTTTATTATAATCATATGTTTTATTATAATTGTAATCATATGTGTTTTTAGTTAAAAGGAAAATCTTGGGCCCCTTTTGAAGAACTCTTTATATTTCGACGAATTATCAGTTGTTTTGTTTCGTGCACAATCGACGAGTATAGTAATCGATACGATTGTTGCTTTAGCTATTCTAGACATTATGTCGCAAACAACGTTTTGAGTATTTTCTCGCACAAAGGTGGCTTAGAAGGGTTGGGATTTGAGGAATGGGCGACGATAATACATCGATGGCTCCTCTGAAGTCCCAAACAAAGGGTGCGGTTTGTGCTTGATCTTATTATTATTAGAACCGTTGTGATAATAAACATGAAACAGATATAAAAGTACATTCATAATGGATGTCCAATCTTTACATGACGCGCTTTTAAATATCGAATATAGAATAACTAAAACGTGGTAGGTGCAACTATCACAAGAATTTAGTCAGTGTTAATAAATCGATTCATTTTAACGTTTCGAATCTTGGATAAAAATAAGAATGAAATTTTCTTTAAGCTTTAAGAATTTTAGAGCCAGAATAAAATTGATTCAATACAAAAATCTCAGGTTCTTACTCCTGCGCCCTCGCAGCTACCCCTGTTTAAAACATTCAGTTTAGAAGGAGAGTTTGGCAACTATGTAGAAACTTGAAAGAAATTCTAAACTCCCACTGCCAAATGTCCCTAATTGTTTCACGGTCGCGTATCGTTCAATATCGCGAATACCGTGGTTAAATATCGTAAAGAAACTTACTTGCTAGGAGCATCGTTCTTTACCTTAAAGAACAAAAACTTTACAAAGCTCGAGTACCTTATCGTGGGTTTATGTTGCCATTGATTCAATCCAAGCACAAAACGAACTCTCTATCAACTACGCGCGTTATCTTTATGCAAACTACGGAAAGTTCGACTCGTGGCCAACGTTAAATTAATTTTAGCCACGTGGCTGAAATGTTCGCTATTTTTAACGATATTCGCGCCGATTTAGTCGAATGCACCGATAGTAGCGAGTCCGTCGATGGCGTGCAAACACTTTGTGGCCAGTTAAGTCTAGCAAATATTTACATCACTTGTGTGCCGAAATTGGAAAAATGTTCGAACGCTTATTTGCACGTGTATTCTTCCGTGCGCTCGGTGCAGGTTTCACAATGCACACGGCAGCACCAATGAAACTTGCATCTGCACTGCCACGTTCTCGTGAATTGATGCGTGTTGTAGCCACGACCGCAGCACATCAAGTCGCATCCGTCGGTTCCTGAAAATTAACAAACATACGTGGAACAGATTCTACCGAAACGAAATTGAAAGACTTAATCAAATTAATACTTTCTGAAAAATGTGTTTAAGGTATGGAGGAGTCAGTGAAATTTTGATTCTTTAAGAAGATTACACGTCGATGTCACGAATAGAATTATTTTTCTTGCTTGGAATTCTACGAAATAAAATTGAAAGACTTTATTGAATTAAGACTCCCTGCAAAATATATTTTAGGTATGTAAGAGTCAGCATTTCTCCTTCGATTAGTAAAATTATTTTGCTTGCGTGTAATTATTCATCCTGTAAAATAATTATTACATATTAGAGCTTTTCAAGTACGATATCAATCACATTATTAATTGCGAGTTAATTTAATGGGGGATGCCACCTTAGAAGGGTGAAAATCGTAGCTATATTCAACAATTTTTTTTTTTTTTTTTAATTTCAAAATCATTACTATAATACAAGATATGTTTCCTGTGATTTATTATACAGACATTGAGTAATAACAAAATAATTTTTATTTCGATTTTCTTTTAATAAAATAGCGATACTGGAAATATTACACGACAAGGGTGCCTCTTACATGATATTAAAATTATTTTGCCAAATGTTTTGACTTTATATTTTTAAA